TTTGCTTCACAGAAGTTTCTCAGTTTTAGGAGGTCCCATTTATTAATTTTGTTTCTCTCAGTGTCCGTGCTGCTGGGTTATATTTAGAAAGTGGTCTCCAGTGCCAATGCATTCAAGTGTTTTTCCCACTTTCTCTTCTATAAGGTTCGGTGTGGCTGGCTTTATGTTGAGGTCTTTGATCCGTTTGGACTTGAGTTTTTCGCATGGTGATAGATATGGATCTATTTCCATTCTTCCTCATGTTGATAACCAGTTATGCCAGCACCACTTGTTAAATACGCTTTTTTCTCCATTTGATATTTTTTAGCCTCAGATTTTCTAAGGCCAGTATAAATCTACTTTTCTTTTCTTTTTAAGATATTGTTCAGGTTGGAGAGATGGCTCAGTGGTTAAGAGCACTGGCTGTTCTTCCAGGGGTCCTGAGTTCAGTTTCCAGAAACCATCTATAGTGAGATCTGATGCCCTCTTCTGCCATAAAGGTACTCATGTAGACAGAGCACTCATATCTATAAAATTAATAAATAAAATCCTTTTTTTAAAAAAAAAAAGAAGAAGAAATTGTTGAACTGGCCTGAAGGTCTCCTTTGTGAGGACTAGCTTTCATGAAACCAGAAGGCCATCATATAAGCTCCAACACCACCGAAGAAAATCACAGCCAATCCAAATGCAGAGTTAAGGTCCCAGTGGATAAAGCTATAAAAAATTCCTACAACCAAGGCTCAGGGAATATTGTGGAAGCATGGTCAAAAAGAGCGTAAGAGTCAGAGGATCATTGTTTAATAAAAGACAGCGTCTCCTAGGAGTGTCAGAAGTGACACTTGGAAAGTCTCACCAACATGATTGCTCAAACTTGAGCTGAACAAGGATGACACCAGTGGACAAGACCATATGAACACGGTTAGCTCCCAAGGCTTCAACCATACCAGGAAGAACTGGGGAGTGCGGGAGCTCTTCTCTAGGGAAGAACACGCCAATGGGTGGCTCAGTGCCAAATGATTAGCCCTGAAAACATACACAAGCAACATTGCACAGAGTGAGGAAATGTATTTAGGAATGTATTAGTGTACATGTGTGTGTGTGTGCATGTGTATGTGCACATATGCATGCAATAACAATGACTGGAAAAAGAGGTCATGAATTTGAAGGAGGGTGGGGCAGGGTATGTGGGAGGGTTAGGAGGGAGGAAAGGGAAGGATGAAATATTGTAATTGTATTATCATCTTTTAAAAAGAAATTATTCAATATTAAATCATTTAAAAATAGATATTGATGGGAACAACTTTAAAGAAAATTAGGTGTGGGATGTTTAGTCTGCGTGTATTTCCAAGTGTTCTGTGCATACCTGGTGCCTTTGAGTGCAGAACGTACTGGATCTCCTGGAACTGGGATTATGAATGAGGTGAGCCACTATGTGAGTGCTAGGACTCAAGCCCATATCTGTTGGGAAGCTGCCAGGCTGCCAGTGCTCCTCAGTGCTAAGTCATCACTCCAGCCCACGAGTCTCCCTCCCTTCAAAGCAGAGAAATGTTTTATAGCATATAAAATTTGCCTTTCTATGTACTTACTGGGAAGTAAGAAATGAAACATTCATCTCAAAATATGAAAGGAATCAATTTTGTAGATTCTTAGAAAACAGAAAATGCCTTGTTTCTGTTTCTAACTGAATGTAAGTTCCCTGCTACAAAGATTTCTCTCTCCCAGTCCTGAGAACAGCGATGTGAGATGGCAGAAGCTCAGTAAAGCCAAATGATTTGAATGAAGCCCTTGTAGCATGTGCATCAGTGCTTGTTACCATACAGTAAGACGGGATTCAGTTGACCTCGGGATAGACACGAGGATCTGATATTGATGTGAACAGTGGGGAGCACATGAGCATCTTCACTGACTCTGGATCTCACTAGAGCACAAGAGAATTTATAAGGTTCACTCCTTTGTTAACTTAAAATCAGAAAAAAAGCAACGGAAAGGCAAAGAAAGGTACAAAAATAAAATGTGCGGATGATCTTAAAACTGTTTTAACCCATGGTAGATAGAGTGGACTCTAAAAATTAAGTAATTGAATCAGTTTACTTTTATCTATTTTGTTCTTTGATTAGAGACTATACATCCTTTTGTATAACTCAAATGGTCATGAAAAATGGTCATGTAGTTTTTTAGTAGGAAACCTTCGAGTCTGGGAAGTAGAGATTTTATAGGCCATATTCTCTGACCTAAATTTCAACCAAAAATAAGACCTTAAAATGTAATTACTTGGAAATTATGAAACATAGTTAAGATAAGCCTTGGGGCAAATAGAAATCAAAGGAATCGTTGAAAAGAACTGTTCTTTCAAAAATCAGTAGGATATGTGAAAGATATGTTTAGAGTATTCTCATTGTTGAAGAAAAACTAAGAATAAGGTAACTTTGTATTTAAGAAAAAAGAGACAAACATTTAAGATAAAAATAACACAGGAAGACCTGATACAGTTACATAGGGCCCCGTGGAAACATACTTAAAACTCTCTTGCAGAAGAGGAGTTGCTAGAGGAACAAAAGTTAGCAAAACTGCCCAAGAAAATTCAAACACATATTTGTTTTGTGTGATGATTGCAAAAGTTGGAAACTGACTTTTAATGAAATATAAAAAAAAAAAAACAAAGGAGAAGTTAAAGCAATTCTAAATAGTGCAGGTGTTACTGTTCCAGACACTACCACTGAAAGACCTGGATAAATTCAGATCCCCCTTGCAGGAAAATAGAGCCAAAAATCTAGCAGGAAGAGAAGATTCAGAAATCTAGGATTAGCCAGTTTCAGGGTTTCAGAAACTAGCTGAAGATAAAGGTAGATTGTAATCTTGAGAGTAATCTTGAGAAACAGGGAGATTCCCCCTGGTAATTATCACCCCCTAGTAATTATCATTGTTACTTTTAGAAAAGGAGCTAGCTGATTATGATCTTGAGAATGTTCTTGAGAGGCAGGGAGTTGCCCCCTTGTAATCATCACTGGAATTTTCGGAATTTTCTGTGACACCCTCCCTGCCCCCCTTTCGGATTACTGGGCTGTGTGGTTCCTTCCTATAAAAACTACTTCTCCAGGTCACTCGAGGTCGAACTCTTCCCCTGTGTGGGTTATGAGTCTCGGCCCCAGTGCCCTGGTTCCCGTCTTGTCGTCTTGTCATTAAACCTCGTGTGATTGCAGCAAGGATGGTCTCTCGTGAGTTACTGGGGGGGGGGGTCGCATTATCCCAAGGCTTGAGTGAGAGGCTTCCAATATCAGGGGTCTTTCACCACAAAATCCAAGACACCTCAGTTTGGATTCCCAGAAATGTGGTACTGTTCTGTCAGATACTGAAACAGCCATGGACTAACATAGGTGTATGGACACACTTGCGAAATGCTAAAGTCAAACCTTACCCAAAAAAGTGGAGCAAGGTAGGCTTCTGCTGCTACTCTGAGGTGGAGCAATATGGGATTCTGCTGCCCTGAGGTGGGGCAAGGTGGAGTTCTGTTGCTCTGAGGCGGGGCAAGGTGGGGTTCTGCTGCTACTCTGAGGTGGAGCAATATGAGATTCTGCTGCTGCTCTGAGGTGGACCTCGGCAGCCAAGAAGTTCAGATAGAACAGAGAAAGCATCTCACTCTGAAAGACCTAGATAAATCCAGGAAAAAAATAGAGCCAAAAATCTAAGCAGGGAGAGAAGAATCAGAAATCTAGAATTAGCTGGTTCAGTGTTTCAGGAACTAGCTGAAGATAAAGGTAGATTGTACTTTTGAGAATAACCTTGAGGAACAGGGAGTTGCCCCCTTGTAATCTTCACTGGTATTTTTGGAATTTTCTGTGACACCCTCCCTACCCCTTTTGGATTACTGGGCTGTGGTTTCTTCCCTTAAAAACCCCTTCTCCCAGCTACTCTTCCCTGTGTGGGTTATGAGTCTCGGCTCCAGTGCACTGGTTCCCTTCTTGTCGTCCTGTCATTAAACCTCGTGTGATTGCAGCAAGGATGGTCTCTCGTGAGTTACTGGGGGGGGGGGGGTCGTGTTAGCCTGAGACTTGAGAGAGAGTCTCCCCATATCGGGGGTCTTTCAACTCTACCCCAGGTTACATTTTTAGTCATTAGTGAATAAGGTTTTCTTTCTGGTAGTGCAATGTGCTTTTCAATGTTAACACATACTTACGAATTAAGACCATGAGGGAAGGAGGGTGGTATTTGGCGAGAAGTGGGTATATGAAGTATTCACAGTCAGGTTAAGGGCTGAGAAAAGTGTGAGAGTAGGGATCTTCCAATTAGCTCTCTCCCACAGTTTCTCTGAACAAGCTTTCATTGACCACAGCCTCAAGCTCACTGAAGACAACCACCAAGCTACTATTAAGAGGAAAATTTTTTAACTCGTCCACACCAACAACTAAACTGCCTTGATATTTAGTTTGTTCCTTGTATGGTGAGTGAGGGGCAATGATTTTCTAGGTATGTAAAAACTAAAGAAAAGAAATAAAGACAAATCAAAAACTTCATAGTTTTGCCTGATGTTACTTAGTGATTTCCATTTGGGCAAACTTCAATTTGTTCAGAAGTCTTTGCAAATTAATGACTTGTGTGTGTGTGTGTGTGTGTGTGTGTGTGTGTGTGTGCATGTGCGTGCATGTGTTCGTGTGTGTGTGTGTGTGCATGTGCGTACATGTGTTCGTGTGTGTGTGTGTTTGACACTATATGAAATATTTCTTTTAAATCACATCCCAACTGCCTTCAAGGAGAGCTTTGCTCTCAGATCATCCATTAATTCAAGCATCACTATAGGATTTAGGACTAACTCATTTTGTACTGTAGAAGTTCCTAAGGGATTTATCTGTCAGGCTCCCTCTCCTCCCCTCGGTCTCCAAACACATTCTTCTTCCTCCCACCTCCACAATTATTTCAGAAGGTTCTGTAGCAGGTTCTCAGAGGTCCCATTGTGTAGTAACAAAAGAACTCCAGCAGTGAGTATCCGGTTCTGCCCTTGTTTGCTGTCCTCAGTGGAAGGACATCCTTATCCCAGGCCTGAAACTTGCTCACAATTTGAGACCCAAGTTCCAGCTCATCATGGAAGTCAGACCTATTGGGTGGATATGCGGCCAGGTGCTGAAGAACTTCTCCGGAAGACGTATGACTTACCTTCCTGTAAACTGGGATATGGGAGTGGGATCAACTGGGGACAAATCTCACAGGTTTCCCTGTATTCCCAGTTACCCAGGAGGTGGGCCAGTGTCCAAAGTCCTGTGAATGTTAGGGGCTATTTCTCCTAACTTCTCCTTTCCTTAGTTGAGGGGATCCAGAAGGCAGTCATGGACCTTATAGATGAGTTTAAAGATGATCTCCCTGCCATCCTAAGAATATCACAGTCTAATCAGGTAATGTGATTTATAATCTTCAAAAGAAGACAAAATATGGGATTTTTATGTATCATACAAATCATTAATACTGATATCAGTAAGTAAAGCTTAAGAAAACATTATTTTTGCTCAGAAAAAGAAATTTCTAATTATTGGGAGGAGTCCTTGGATAGCAGAGAGATAAACCAGGAAGTGAGTGAGGTAGATCAATTAAGAATAAAGATAATCACTGTGTCATTAGATTAAAAATCTGAAAGTTTTTCATAGCAGAAACTGACAATGTAGTTCACTTAAGATTTGTTTAATGTAAAATTGGAAAAAGTAGCTAGAAATACTTAAGTAAAATCTAAGGCAATTAAGTGAATATAAACATTTAACTGAGATAAACTAATCCTGGAGAGACACAGTGTGAATATGTGTATGTTAATGTGGAAAGTTTACCACCTTAAACAGAATACACACCCACTGTATTTTTAAAGTGTCCGCTTCATAAAAGATTTGAAGGAGATAAAATATTGGAATTGGAGACAGAGGGAAAGAAGGAATTCTGAAGATGTTTATAGTAAACACGTGATCTTATCTAACCTAATTATACCAAATGTCAACTTTGAAGTACAATACAGTGTAAAGCTACATGACATTGGATTTTTCTTTTTTTTGTCCTTAGCCTAAATTTTATTAGCAGCATTATGAAAATCATATAATAGGGTTTTTCATGTGGACAACAAATCTGTTCTAACTAGTTGTGACGGCTTATTTTCATGTGTCAAATTACATAGGCTGTGGAGTTCGGACATCTAGACAAGCATTATTCTGAACGCTTTTGTGAAGATATTGGTAGCTGATATTAACACAAAAACCAGTAGCATGAATAATCTGATTACTCTAATGTCATCTGTCATGTCACCAGTTCCTTGGAAGACTGCAACCGAAAGCCGATCCTCCCCCGACACTGGACTTTTCTATGTGGCAATGTCACATATCAAGTTTCTAGCCCAAACCAGAAAGTGAACCCAAAAGCACTCTGAGCAACATGGCAATCATAAAGTTTACATGTTTCATTAGGAAAGATGTTGGGGCTGTTTTAGCCATGTCTCAAGATAAACCATGTCAGACACTTATCATCACCTCCCTTTTGCGTGGGATTGGGGAGAAGAGGCTCTGCAGGATGTGACCCCTGTTAGTGACTTTAAACTCATGAAGACTGGTTGTAATGGGAAAGTTAGTTAAGTATTATTAATTTAACCCGGACCTAGGACATGCAGATCTTTGGATGTCATGGAACAAAAGAGGCTGATCTTTTGTCTTAATTATAACACAAACATATGACAGAAGGTGTTGAGGATGGAAATGACATCCAGTTTTGACGTGAATGGAGTTCTTAGGGCTAGGGAGACAGCTACACGGGGAGAGCGCTCCCTGTGCAAGCGAGAGTTTGCATCCCCAAAACTCACGTCAAAACCAGGCCTATGCATGTGTCCATTACCCTAACATTGCGAGTCTTGGGGTGTCACTGGTAGATCAGCCTAGCTGAAAGGGTGAGAGCCAGTGAAAGACCTGTCTTGAAATATCAGGCGGAGAATGATACAAGAGGACATAGGAAGCCTCCTCCGGTCTCCTCATGGGCCCATGCACATGAACACAGACATGTGCATCACACACACACACACACACACACGAGAAAAGACAAAAGTACTACTCCAGTGCTAATGTTTTCTTAATGGAGGCAGAGTTTATAGTAAAATTGTGTTATAAATGGTTGCCAGACACATTGGGAATATGGAGGGAATGTAGTGCTTAGCATATCACAAAACTGACAGTGTGGGATGGGAAGGCCGTGCAGGGTGAGGAAGAGTCTGCATTCTGGAGTGACTGGAAGAATGACGACTACGTAGGCGATAGAGGACTACGTGGACTATGCGAAGGAGAGAGAAATGGGACATAATAAAATTATTTTAGCAGTTTGGATGCAAGGAATGTAACAAATTGTGTTCAATCTATGTAGTTGAGCTATAAATTGAAGTTGCTTAGCTTATAATTCTGACTTTAGACTAACAGAGAAAGTAAGCCGTCTCTATTTGGATGTCTAGACCTGGAAAGAGAGTGACGTGAAGTGTGGGATCCCAGGCGAACAGTTGTTGGGCAGCACAAACGTGATTCAGCTGAGCAAGACAGACTAAGGATGGAAAACTCCAGAGGGAAGGCAAAATTCTGAAATTCCAGACCTTCAAGTTAGATGGAATCTAGTTACCTCCATCTCTGCATTCCCCTGGACTTTGTACAAAGTATTTTGAAACACCAGAAACTTTTCTTGGCCATATTCTGGAGCTCTGAGAGGAGAGATAGACAAGTGTTCAGTGAACCTAGGACAGTAGATGCAATACTTATAGAAAAAGCATCAAGGGGAGCCCTAGAGGCCAGAGATATGCTAGAGATGACTTATTTATTTTCCAAAATGTGCTTTCTCTAATACCAAAGTTAGAGACATTGAGATTTTGTTCAACCAAAAAAACCTGCAAATTTTTATAACCCTTTCACCTTGCTCTATCTTCTGATTGTATCGTTGTCACTTGATCCAAGAATGTGATTTATGTTCAGACACATGGGTACCTTCTCCCTAAAGAGAGCGCTATTCTGTTTCCAACACCTTGAACTTCTTTCCTTATGAGCATCTTAGGCCACTTAACGAGGAACGCAATGATAGCTTTTGCCCATTGTTCCCCATTCACTTTGCTGACTTAGACCACAAACCCATTTGTGTGTGAGATGCACAAAGCACAGGATGTGTAGAAGAACCCTCCTGAGAAAGTGCTTACCCCCTGCTTACCTCAGTACTCACCCCTCCCCCCAATCTCCTAGCTCTGGTTTTGTCTGGATTTGGCAAGAACGATTTCAACTTTCACAAAACGTTCCTGATTAAGTTCCACAAATATTGAAAAAGGAAAGAGAAGAAGATGGGGTCAGGGAGGTGAAGCCACCATCTCCACAGGGCTTGTATGAGCTTTGTTTTCAGTCGGAGTTCTACATCAACTGAGCCAATGGAAGATGTGTGATCTGACACCTGTTTGAACGGGATCTCTCCGATTTATTTGCTGTTGAAATAATGAAAACAAGCGAAGTTGGGAGAAGGGAACTGTGTAGATGGCTAATCCACTAACCTAGAGAAGAGATAATGTATTTTAGACAAGGGGTGGATAGGTGAGGGGTCAAATTCTGGGACAGTACAAAGGAAGAATTGAATAAGTTTACTGATGGCTGCTTTTATAGGCAGAGGGTAGTAAATACTATGATAAAAGAAATGAACCGTCAGCGTTAAAATTGCAGACAACACACCCTGTGGGGGAGGGGGAACTCCCACAAACATAGAAACTCGAAGGCCCGGGGTAGGGGTAGGAGATTGTGTATTCAAATCTAGAGCAGGGTTCCAGAAGCCGCTTTACTGACTAATCTGGGTGCTTGGTCGGGGCCTTTACTTCCTGGCCTCTGCGAACTACTAAGATGATGGAGAGCAATGTGCAAAGAAGCTCCCACAATTCCACTGGAACCAGATGCTAGGCTAAGCGTCTAAGAAAAAACTAGCAGGCAAGAATGAAGATGGCTTCATTTGGGGTCGATGTCTATATTTAAAACCACACAAATGATCTGATTAGAAAAACAGACAAAGATGGTGGTGGTACATGCCTTTAATCCCAGTACTCAGGAAACAGAGGCAGGCAGACCTCTATGAGTTCCAGGCCAAGCTGGTCTACAGAGCTAGTTCTAGGGCAACTTGAGCTGTTGCACGGAGAAACCCTGTCTCTCGAAAATTACAAAAAATGAAAAAATTTAGAAAAACAAACAACATAGCATAGGCAGAAAAAGAAGGAGGAGGGGGAGGAGGAGGAGAAGGAAGAGAAGAAAATCCTTTTTTTTTCCTATTAGAACTAGTTAAGAAACTTACTGAAAGTAATTTTTGTTCTTTAAAAATATAATGTATAATGATGGGGTGACCGCAGCCGCTAGTCCAGTCAGAGACAGCTAGAGCGGTGCAGGTTCCCAGCGGCGGCGAGCGGCAGCGGACAGAGCGCAGCGGAGCGCATCCTGGACAGGCTGGTACCAGCCATGTGGCCGGGAGAGTCAGGCGGGCGGGTGCGGCGGATAAAAGGCTTACAGGACATAATAAATAAACATAAGGCTGAATATAAAGATGAACATTTAATAAAGAAGAGGCAGAGAGACATGGAGACAGACATAGAGACACGTGTGCACACACCAAGAGAGGGGGACAGAGGAAGGGGTTAAGATGGCGACAAGGGGGTCAGAAGTGGCTGGGAGTGGGTGTGGCTTGCCCTTAAAGGGACCAGACCAAAAGAATAACAGTAATAGTGTTTGGAAATCATCACAAATATCTCACTCCACATGAGAAATGCAGGCAGCTGCTTCTCTCTGTCATGGTTCAGAGTGCAGGCGAGAACCACGCCTGCTCGCATGTGCGTGCACATGGAGATGTTGCCTTTGTTTGCTTTCTTATATCAGTTTCCTGATGGGACACAGCGTGTCTTCCTGGGAAAGGGCCAGCTCTACAGTTTTTAGTTGAGAAGATAAAAGCGATCAAGAGCATTGCATTGTTGGAAATAAGAAAGCCTTGAAAAGTATATGGGAAAATTTTTGTTTGTTGGTTTGTTTTGTTTTGTTTTATTTTAAAGAAAGCGTTTTAAAAGGCATGTATGGTTGCTCATGACCAAATTGTAACAACTAAGCACTGGAGGGAAAAAAGACCATAGTCATGAGCCACAGGTAAAGACGGAAAGTCAGCCAGGATTTCATGGTGACAGCTAAATATGCCTGTATTTCAATACAGGCTTGCATGAAAAATTGTTTTTAACAATCGTTCATGTTTTGATCTACTTAAATTATCTGAGCCCTACATGAGATTGGAGCTGACCAAATTATCATTGATAATTAACCTTATTTTTATATAAGACAAAAAAAGCAAAAAGGAAAATGTACAAGGGGAGTTGGACAGATTGATTAGTGGGGTAAATCAATGTGCTTAATAGAAATAGTGACTCCAAGCCGTGGTCTAGTGAAGAACCTAAGGCCAAATAGTGCATGACTGCAACTCCATCACTCAAGTAAGAGGAAGGGGGGTCCAGATTTTGAGCCCAGGTGGAGTTTGAGACTAGCTTGGCTTGGACAGCAAGACTGTGTCTCAGAACAATCAGAAGAAAGTCAAAGATCCTGTCATGTAGAAAATAAGGACAGGAATCTGCAGAAGTAACAGTATTATTTCATGACTGCCACCATGGTAGATTCCCCAAACACTGACCATTCGAACACGGAGACAAAGTTTACAACGGGAAACTTCCATGCCCACGCCTGTTTGTCCTGACCACGCTTAGTAATAACTACAGGGAGTGTAGGTGAACTGTAGTCACAAGCGAGAACAAACCAGTGCCTGTCCCAGCTTGGGGAGGAGCTGCAGGGTCAGCCCAGCCCAGCCAGAGAAAAGTGGAGCTTCAGCCGAGAGGCAGTGCCGGTTCTCTGGGCTGCCCTCACTATCCCTTTGGGCTGTTTTGATCACTTTGTTTTTAGATTGCTTAGGAGGGGAGCAGTTTCAGTGCCTGGATGGCATTAACTGCTGTGGCTAATGATGTAGAACTTTTCAGAAAAGTTAACAGAACAAACCATATCAGGACACCAAAAGGGGCAAAAATACATCATCACAATGGGCTAGACCATCGTCCAGCTGTCTTCAATGAAAAACACCGAAATCTGGTGATGTCTGTCTGTTTTTAAAGTAAATATATAAAATGTAAGCTCTTAGGTGAGCACATGTTCACTGCAAACAAAAAATTTAACAGTTAATTTCTTTTTTTTGATTTTCGTTTTTTGGGTTTTTATTTGTTTGTTTTCTGAGACAGGGTTTCTCTGTAGCTTTGTAGCCTATCCTGGAACTAGCTTTTGTAGACCAAGCTGACATGGAACTCAGAGAGATCCGCCTGCCTCTGCCTCCCGAGTGCTGGGATTAAAGGCGTGCGCCACCACTGCCTGGCCAGATATTTTCTATATAAAAGTTTAACAAAATACTACAGACTCAAATGTTGCTTATCTGTAGCCAATGCCTAACTAGTTTTTTCCCCTAAGGATAGTCTGATGACCCCCACATTGCTTAAATTAGTGGTGAAGCTGCCTCTTTGCTGCCTGGAACACAGTTAAGCACACGCTATGCAGTGCTACGGTGGTGAATGACCGAGCAGAGCGCAGGAACCACATGTACATGGTAGACATTTGATGAAGCTACAGTTTTGTTAGAAATTGCTAGAATTTCTGAAGTGTTGATATGCAGGGTTTCTTAGACTTACTGACTGACATAGGATGTTTGATTTAGCTTCCTTTACTATACACAAGCTCATGAATAAAATCCTTAAACTTGCAAAAATATTTCTAATGATTTTAAGTAACTGCTTGAATAGTTCATATATCGAGCAGTGCTTGGTAAAGAATTGTTGTTGAGAGTGGAGTCTGGAAGCTCAGGGCTATAGGGCAGCTGTGCCGAGGGCGAGGCAGAATGGTTGTACATCCAAGGCCTCACTAGGTTACACCCAACCTGCACAACTGAGCAAGACCTTGTCTAAGAACAAAAAGGAGAAATAAAGCCAAGACATAGCTCAGTGGTAAAGCACTTGCCTAGCATGTACAAGATGCTGGGTTAAATCTCAAGCATTGGGGATAAAGGAAGGGAAAAAAGAGGAAAGGAAGAAAGAAAAAGAAAGAGAGAGAGAAAGAAAGGAAGAAAGAAGAAAGGAAGATAGGAAGGAACAAAGAAAGGAAGGCAAAAAAAGAAGAAAGAAAGAAAGAAAGAAAGAAAGAAAGAAAGAAAGAAAGAAAAAGAGAAAGAAAGAAAAACATAATCTTATCTACTTTTTAAAACAGCCCCTAAAATCAATGTAAAAATACCACAGACCACCAGGCATAGTAGCACATGCTTTCAATCCCAGCACTCAAGACAGGTGGTGATGGGTAGATCTATGAGTTCAAGACCACCCCCATCTACATAGAAAATTCAAGACAATCAGGGTGACACAGGAGGACACAGTGAGACCCCATTTCAAAAGACAAACAAACAAGCAAAAATTCATAAACCCAAATACAAATGAAGCAATTCTATCTTTTGGTTAATTCGATTCTCAATCTTTATCCTAAGGAAAAATTAATGTGTTCATACACAAGCTTTAATTAGGGGTATCAGTAAATTGTAGAGGGTGTATTTGTTGGGCTGAGTAAGCTTACAATGTTATGTACAGTGTTGTTATATACTCAGTTTCTGTTGAAAGTAAATGCTAGTAACATATCAGAGAAACATATATCAGATTCTTGTCAAAGCTTATTTTTTTCAGAAAAAAGATCCAGTGCAGAGAACATCCAAAGTCAGAATGGCTCTAGCTTTAGCTCGGATCAACCGGGGAACATTGATTCAAGGATTAACCAGCATATCCAGCTCTTCCAAATCAGTGGCCAAACTCCTGCAGCCCCAGCTGGCATGTAGACTCTTGGAGCTGAGACACATCTCTCACCGGCTGCTGAGAGAGCTGAATGCACCAAGCCAGCCCCTGTATAGCACACAGGCAAGTGGATGGTGCGTTCACATGAGCTGTGGAGCCTTTCTAAAGATTCATAACTGACCAAAGTGCTATGGGTATTGTGTGCGTAGCCCTGAATGGGACATTTACATCACTATTTCAAGGCTAAAGGAACATCATGGAAGGGGTGGTGGGCAAGGGCCAGAACGTGGGAAGAAATGATGGGAAACCCCATCTTCTGGATGTGACATGCCTTTTCACCCACGGGCTCTCAGCAGCGGTGGCTACCTGCACAAGGCTGAGCCAATACTCCTTCACCAGCTGGGAAGCAGTGAATGGTTGCTGAGAAGGGTGAGTCATTTTTCTTGAGTGACACAGGCACAAGTAAATTGCCCCAAACCTATCTCATCCAAACACCTCAATTACAGTGGTGGGCCACCCCTCCCCCGCAAAAAGGCATGAGAGTAGGAGGGGACTGGTTAGGGAAAAGAGGGTGTCAGAGAGAGAACAGAGAGAAAAATGGAGATTATGATCAAAGTACATTATATTGCACAGAATTGTGAATGAATAAGTAATATGTTAAAACTTCTTTAATTTAAAAATAAAACTGAAGTGAATTTGGGATCCTTCATGTGAAACAGATAAGGTTGAATAAGAGAAATGAATGCAGTGCAGTTTCTGTTTAGGTCTGGAAGGGAAAATAATGCTGACTTTTTTTTTGAAAAAAAAAAACCTTATTTAATTGAGCTGTGTAAAACTTTCCATTTCAAATAGTTCAAAGAAAATATAAGTATGATGATTTTTCAGAGTAGTTGTTTTGCTCCTCCCTCCCAGAACAATGTAATGTTCCCCAAACAACCTCCGGTGTGCCTGCTGGGGTACTCACCTGTCAGGTCACTCGGTGTCCCCCTAGTACTTATGTTCATCTCTAATTAGGTTGCACATGGCTTCAGGGAACTTCTGCAACTGTTAAAACGTTTTCAAGTCTGAATTCTTTTAAATGTTACGACCCAGAACACTGGATACCTCAAACTGGATGCTATTCAAACATCTGAACTTGCTCTGTAGGAGACTCAGAGACCTTCACAACAAGCATCTCATACCAGGCACATCGGCTTGAACACTGGCTGAAAGGAGAGGAAGCCATGCTCAGATTGGGTTAAATCCAAAGAGAAGACTCTTAGTTCATACAAACAGCCCAGAGTTAAGATTCCAGACACTTGCATAGATGATGAAGAAACGTGTTCACTTGTTTTCTTTGCATGTTTTCATTCTTTTTTTCTACATCCATTCTACTCTTAAACTATCTAAAATGACTTGTAACTGTTTGAGGGGCCTTCATCCTTCCAAGCTCAAGTAATTACAGCAGAAAACCAAGTTCCTGAGTCAGTGTTTCTTGGGTTCACTGGTGAAAGATGGTGCACATTCAGTGTTTGCCTTTAAACCAGGGAAATGGACTGCAACGGTGACTTGAGACTATCTATGAATGTGTCACTTTCATGTATGTCTGTGCGTCATATGTCAGGGATGCAGATATGTTATTCATGGTAAAATATTAGCTAGAGCTATATCCTTTTGGCTCCCTACTTTTCATTCAATAGGATGACACATAACTCTGCATATTTAACTGCTCATATTTAATGTTGAAGCAGGAGAGAGGAACCTAGAAATGAAGAAATAGCCTATTCCAGGGACACTGAAACAGCTGCCCAGCTTCTCCTCTAAAGGGGCAGGGCATCCATTATCCTGCAATGTGTCTGCAGAAGAAAACGGAGAGGGCATTATCTTGGGCGCCCTCTGACATATCTGGGGGATTCATCTCTAGGTCTCTCCACAGGAATGCACTCGTTGTAGCTCTGAAAGCTTTTTGACGTTTAAAGATGCCCCATGCTCAGAAGACATAGTTTGTGCAGGAATATGAGGAATCCATGGAGAATGTCTCTGTACTCATAAAAGTTTAGTGGCAGAAAAATTCTGTCTTTGCATTCCACATAATGTGTGTACATGTGCATGTGTGTTTAGCCATTTCTGAGAACTAAAACAATGAAGAAAAAACTAACAACAACCACCCCCCATAGACCCCACAATGTATTTGCTGTCAGCCTTGACTGACAATGAGATTTTGAGATATGAATCATATATATCTACTTCATTTGCATTAGCTTACTCTAGAAACATGTTTGAGATGGAGTGGCTGGTCCAAGGCTGATGTGCTGTCCATGTCTTTTTTGATAACAACTTACAGTTGGCAAATATAAAAACTATTTTCCTCTTGGGGGACGCCTAACGATGTGACTTTAAATAATTAGCAGTGAAACAGCTCAAATCACAGACGTAAGTTAGCAGAAGTTTCTCATGACCGGAAGTGAGCCCTAATGGTTCAGATTCCCCCCAGAATGCCCTTCATAAAGAGAAACACATTCTAGCCCGTTCTCCATTGCTTCACAGAGTTCATCACTGTGAAGCGGAGATGAACGTCTCTGTATATACTTTTATATTTTTATTAAGTTGGACATGTTTACTTACATAGTCATGTATGCTTACCATTCACAGAGACTACATTCTACTGTAAGTCTCCTTCTGAAAATTCTTGGTTTTAGCCAGCATTGACAAATGTAGCTGGAGTTTATTTTAGCTCCGCTCTGGTATTCTGGGAAGAAAAGATAATCTGGAGTTTGTTACTGGGAGGATGAACAATTTAATTTCCAATTCTTTTCTTTTACAAACAGTGGTTTGGTTAGCATGCTTATAGATGTCTCCCGCCCACATGCACGAGACCTTGTCTGGGTTTGTCTCCAAGAGGGATCTTCTTTCTTCAGTCTTCCCTAACTCATACTGTATACCGTACTTCAGGAAGGGTGAGCATCCCTGAGCAACCTCTGAGTCCTGAGTCCTGACTCTAACAATAACCAATTAAATTTTTGAAAATTCTTAGCTAAATCTTCATCTTCATCTTCTTCTTCTTCTTCTTCTTCTTCTTCTTCTTCTTCTTCTTCTTCTTCTTCTTCTTCTTCTTCTTCTTCTTTCTTCTTCTCCTCCTCCTCCTCCTCCTCCTCCTTCTCCTCCTCCTTCTCCTCCTCCTTCTTCTTCTTCACCTTTTTACTTTTTTGAGACATGGTTTCTCTGTGTTGCTTTGGAGCCTGTCCTGTAACTAGCTCTTGTAGAATAGGCTGGCCTCAAACTCAGAGATCCCCCTGTCTCTGCCTCCTGAGTGCTGGGATTAAAGGTGTGCACCACCACTGTCAAGAGCTAATATTTCTTCAAATATTCTATCTTTGTTAGTTTCTATAAACTTTTTCCAACATTCCTATTAAAGATATTTTAATTTCTGTGTGTGCACACATGTGTGTGTTTTTGTTTATAATAGTGTTGAGGATTGAAGTTAGGACCTTCTGCATGTCAGCAAGCACCCTGTCACTGAGTTAAATCCCTGCCCTCTCATTTTATTTTCTATGTGTGTTTGTCTTTCTCATATACCCCCACCCAGCTTCTTCCCACACAGGGTCTTATTATGCGTGTCTGGCTGGCCTGGGACTCTCTATGTAGATTGGGCTGACCTCAAACTCACAGAGATCCACCTGTTTCATTTTCCCAAGTTCTAGGATTAAAGGTGTACACTTTTTTACATTTTGGCTATGTCCAAAATAGTCTTCTACCTTAAACTTAAGACATATTAATCCATTTTGTGTGCATGTGAGTATGTGTGGGAGAGTTTATGTGTTTGTAGAGGTGATCATGTGTGTATAGAGGCCAAAGGTTGAAGTCAGGAATCTTCCTCAGTTGCTGTCCACCATATTGTTTGAGACAGGGTCTCTCACCAAGCCTGCAGTGAGTCCCAGGATCCTCTTGTCTCTGTTTCCAGCACTGCCATTACAAGTGTGTGCCACCAAGGCTGACTATTTTAAAAATGTGGATGCTAGGAATCCAAGCTCAGAGGTTCATACTTGTATGACAAGCATATCACTGAATGAATCATTCCTTCTTGCCCCATGTTGACGATTTGAGGAGATCCATGAGTTCTTTCCCTAAGGATGCTGTTTCTTTCCCCTGCATGTCTTAGACAGCTTTCTCCCTTTAATTATTTTCCAACTATCTTGAACATATTCGTGTGTGCCTGGTCTTTCAAATGATTATTCTTTGAAGTGTTAAGAGCTGCTAACTTATCAGACTAGGATGGTTTGTATTGCATGCTCACAGTAGTTAATTTTCAAATGTTTTATAATTATATTTAACTGGAAATTCCCCAGTAGAGTTTCATTTTAGTAAAACCCTTTGAACTTGGTGGCAGGACTCTCCTGGAAGAATTTTGTTTGTGCTCCAAGGGTCTATGAACAACCTGGGACCAACCTTCAATCTTTCTCAATTCAGGGTTTTCTGCACCACCCTGAGAATTTCAGGCACCTTTCTTAGGCATATTCCAAAGAGAAAATTCCAGGGCTAGGTGGGGAGCAGCTTCCTTCTTTCCTGTTGTGGTGGTTTCCTGTTGAGCTGTTTGTGTCTCACCTTCAGAAACTGCAGCTTTGAATCCTACCCTGCACCACATGCGCACCCAGACCTCCCACGAAGTTGTGTGAAGGCATCTGGTCCAGTAAGGGACTGGAGAGCCTGAGACAGAAGCTCACATACTTGCTTCTCTGTTAGCTCTCTCTCTGTTCTCTTTTGTAGTCTTAGCCTTCCATGATGTTTTGGGCATTTGATTCTAGAAGGAATTCTCAGTGACACTGTGTAAATGCTTACACACAGCTCAGCCTGATGTGTTACTGGAGCCAGCTTTCTTTCTGCCCTACTTACTTCTTTTACAATTTAATAAAAGATATCTAAATCTCTTTTGGGAAGTAAGTGAATATAATTTAACTTCCTAATTAACTCAGCATATATTTATCAAAAGCTGACATATAACATTACTAGTTTAGGTACCAGGCATATTTTATTCTTGTTCCGTGGACTACGAAGCACATGCACATACTGTCAGTCACGTGTAACAAGCACATGATCAAAGGATGCAAAGCAGACTGTAGAAGCACTCAGAGTGACCACGGTAGACTGCCTAGGAAACCCGGTCTTCTACATGAGACTGGAAGGAGGAAGAGCGAACCAGATGAGGCGGCAGGAAAATCATTAGAGGAAATGAAGGGTCCATAATGGAGGTACCTGAGTAAGAGAGAACATGGCCTTTTAGGGAAGCAGAAATAGAAGTATGTGGTTGAAGGGAGCAGATAGAGGAGAATCTGGGGTCAGGATGTGAGCATTGGGGGTGAGGGAACCACTGCAGTGACTAGGTGACTAGTGGTGAGAAGACTTGTCTCAGAGAGGAAACCATTTGCAGTGAGGAAGGAAACAACAGGTCAAACCTGAAGGCACAGTGAGGGCACAGACAGAAGTAAAATGTGAGCACAGCAGCACCGGAGTCAAGGATACAAAAGGGATGTAGGAGGTGTGACGCGTAGGAAGGCCGGGTTGCTCTGTGAATGGAGTGCATCCATCGATGGAGTGTGTTGAGACCTGAGAGTCACAGCATAGAGAAGCTATGTTCATTCTTAATAACCCACAATTGATATGCCCAACTGCTTCCAGGTGAAGCTTTGTGGTGACAGCTGGAATTAATGTTCAGAGGAATATGCTGTCTGAATGCCCAGAGGATATCGCTTTATGTAAATATGCGGCCTAGTAACCAATCTGAAGTTATCTCTTTTACAAGTGACCTTGGGTCTCTGAGAGTGATGAATGATAGAAAGAAGTGTCCTTCATACCTGGAACAATTTAATTGGTTCTACCGAACTTATCTTATTAATGTGGAATACCAGTGAAGCAGATGTCTTCCCTTTAAAACGTGGACATGGAGGAGCATTTGAAAGATCCCTGATATTGGAAGACTCTCACTCAAGCCTCAGGATAACGCGATAACAGTGACTCACGAGAGACCATCCTTGCTGCAATCACACGAGGTTTAATGACAAGATGACAAGATGAGGACCAGTGCACTGGGGCCGAGACTCATAACCCACACAGGGGAAGAGTTCGACCTCGAGTGACTGGGAGAAGTAGTTTTTATAGGAAGGAACCACACAGCCCAGTAATTCGAAAGGGGGGCAGGGAGGGTGTCACAGAAATTTCCGAAAATTCCAGTGATGGTTACAAGGGGGGCAACTCCCTGCCTCTCAAGGTCATTCTCAAGGTCATAATCAGCTAGTTCCTATTCTAAAAGTACCAATGATAATTACTAGGGGGTGATAATTACTAGGGGGAATCTCCCTGTTTCTCAAGATTACTCTCAAGATTACAATCTACCTTTATCTTCAGCTAGTTCCTGAAACCCTGAAACTGGCTAATCCTAGATTTCTGATTCTTCTCTTCCTGCTAGATTTTTGGCTCTATTTTCCTGCTAGGGGGATCTGGATTTATCCAGGTCTTTCACATTCTCATTAGCACAGTGATGATGTAACTAGACTGATATTTGAGCCCTTTGGTACAGGAAAACTCTAACATAAAATCTGCAGTAATGGTTTCCTTTACTGGATGTTGCTGGCCCAGAGCCCCTAAGACACCTAGGCCTTTACAATGGATGGTCAGATCTGGGGCCTTTAAAATATGTCCAAAACATATTTTGGTTTTATTGTTTTATTGTTTAAAACAAAAAAATATGTACAAAACATGATCTGCCTAAGACCCAATCCAAACACGTTACCTAAAGAATTTCCAAAGGTCAGACTGACCTGAGCACAGAGGTTTTGAACCTGACTGTACAGATAGACTCCCCAAACTCTCCCAGCTTCTGCTGAGGTGAGACCGCAGGGATGGAAGAGCAGCTGATAATGTTGAGCCTCAGGAATGCAAACCCCTAGTGGAGGAGGCCCTGGAGGTTTCCGGCATCCCTAGCACCAGTACTTCAGCCTGCAGCTGCTCTTGCTGCAGTGACCTAGATAGTCAGCTTAGATGCTGACTTCAGCCAAGGCGCGGCAGTTTCAGACAGAGCTGTTGATTCTGGAAGGCCAGTTAATGTGGGGCCACAGAACTGAAAGGTCTTCCTGGGCTGAGAGGATGAGATGACTGTTTCTCTTGTGCAGAGGCAACATGGGGGGTAGAGAGCAAGATGTGGGCAAAACCGGGTGAACCTCAGCCCCTTTGCTGCCAGGAGATTTCTTTCAAGCCCACTGAACTCTACCCCTCCCCCGCCTTCCGCCTTCCCTGCACCCTGCAGGGTGTACTCCAGTTAAGAATTAAAATGCACATTTACAAATATCAGCTCTGTGGGTGATGGGCCTGCCACAAGACTAACAAGCAGGTGTGATTTGGATCTGGGAAAAGCCATTTCCCAACAAGAACTTTTCAAAGACATATTCCTCCAAGCTGACCAAAAGGAGAAGGCCTCTGAGCTCTACTGGACCACCTGAATAAAAACTTTCTCACGAATAATGTTCCTCAAGATGCTGAGCCAAGCTTTCTATACTAGAAAAGTATAGTGCTAGGAAAGTTTCTTGTAAGTGTGGCGGTGAGTTATTGCACAAAGACATGGCCATACAGCTTTTACCAACTGATAGGAAACTTTCTTCCTGGGCCTCCCTCTTAACAGTGGACAGCACGGTTTACGTTTGTTCATTAGTCACAGAGAGAGAACTTAGTACCGAACTCTTCCCCTGTCCTCAGCAAGTTGATTCTGAGCAATATGAAGTCAGGTCTGGTAACTCTTCACCCTACAATTATGTATAATTGGATCTTTATTTTCTCAGCTGCTCAAACATGACTTTCTTGTGATTTATGTCATTATTAGTGAAAAGAAAATGAACAGACGTGGTTCTTTATAAGATGAGACATAATATGTGAAAGGAGTGGAAAGGTTGAACTCGGTTCATGTCTTAAACTGTATATATTGTGCATATTAATGTAACCAAACTAAAAATATTGACGTAGCATTGATACTGTACTTTAATTCAAATATGTAAATAAATAAAATTAATAAAACAAATGTAAGATAAAATATTTCTGGTAGGCCAAGAAAATGTAAACAAAGACTCCTATTTTTCCAAACATTTCCTGCTTATTATTTTAGTTTTTCTATATGCTACTCCTGCTAAAAGGCAGAAGCAAAGCAAGGTGGTTTATAATATTAAGAAAGCATGCAGTGTTCCGCGAAGACACCATGACCAAGAAGACTCTTACAAAGGAAAGCAGTTCGTTGGGCTTACAGTTTTAGGGCTTAGTGCAGCTGCATCATAGCAGGGAACACAGTGGCATGGAGGCAAGGTGCTGGGGAAGTTGCTAAGATCCTGAACTACAGGCCAAGAAAGAGAAACTGGGTCTGGCATGGACTTTTGAAACCTCAAAGCCCATCCCCAATGACACACTCACTCCAGCAAGGCCACACCTTCTACTCCTTCTCAAATAGTGCCACTCCCTGATGGCTAAGCACTCAACTATTTTAACCTATGGGGGCCATTCTTATCCAAACCACTTCACGTGAGCCATAAATCTGAAAAAATGCTGCTTGCTAGGCACCACATAAATTTTGGAGGAAATGTTTCCTATGGGGACGATTTGTTACAGAAATCGAAAGCAGTATGATATTGAAAACAGCAATCCTTAGGCAATACACAAAATTAATTACTTACAAGTGTAACAGGTATCCACATAATTAATTTTGAAACTAATCATTTTAATTGCCTTTAAATAAGAGAATAAATCCAGGGAACTGTGTAGTGAAACAAAGTACTATTTCCTACAGACACCTCTTTCATTTTGTTTCATGTGACTCCCTGCTGGTTCGGCACAGACCTTTCTTTAGGCACAAACGAGTCTTTTCTTCTACAAAGAGACATCTTGTTGGAGTAGACCTGCTTTTCCTTCTCCCACTCTTTCCCTGCATGCTTGCCCTCTGCAGCCATGAGCCCAAGTCAAAGGCTGTGCCTTCTGTGACCTTTGATTCAGTTCCCAGGGAAGCTGAGACATTCTCCATGCTGATTTACAGAGATACATTAGAGGGAATCCATTTCCTTGGGGATGAGTTCTTACAGAAGTAGAAAGCATTTGTTGACAGCAATAAGCAAGGATATCTGGGAGCTGGTGTGGCCTGAAGAAACAACCAGGCAGTTCACATTAGGTCCCCCACTCCCCGACTCCTGGCTATGAGCTTTTTTGGCCTCTTATTAGCTTCTGCATTCCACAAACCCCTTGCTGGCAGCAGGCAGCCAAAGCGAAGCCAGCACACTCACACAACAGCCTGTGCTTCTTCAGCTTAACTGGACAGTGCAGAAGAGTCTCATCTCTGAACCCCTCTTCCTACTTCACAGATTTCTTAGAGATTAAAATGATACTATTAAGGAGAGATGCTGGCATATACGAAATGTTCTGTAAGTGTTAGCGATACACAGTTGTATTACTCAAAAGCTATTTCATTGTTGGCACAGTTTTGTCTATTTTTTTCTATAAAAAGCTAGTTGTATTTTTTTATACTTGAAAGATGGACAGAATTCTTAAATTTTAAATCAAAATATTCAGACAAGTGTGCAAGTCATTGAAAACATAGCTCAATAAATTCTCATAAATAGAACACCTTTTATGGTAGCCATATCCCAAAAATCTCCTACCTGCTTCAGCACTGATCTCTCCCCTGTGAGGAAGGCATCTGCTGCCTTGACTTCCACCAGTTAAGTGGGAAGTCATCAGTTTGGCTCACTTTTATTTAGAGTTTAATCATTTGCTGGGCATACACTTTTAACCTCATTCTTTCTCATATGCCATGAGAAATTAATAGCCGTTATGTCACTTACTGCTACCTGTGCCCAGGCACTTCACTAAGTACTTTAGCATTTTTTTGTCTTCCGGACAAAACCTTGGCATAAATATGTGCTAGCTCCATCCTCCCCTTTCCCAGCAGTACAGCCGACTTGTCCAACCAGGGGGCAGCTATGTACTCCTCATGTACGTCTAACTTTACCGCTAGCAGCTATGTTACCGCAGAGGCCCTTCTTTTATTCCTTGGCTCTTTGTGGAATGGTAACAAAAAAAGTCACCTTCCTGGGGTTGTTCTAAGGATAAAATTGAGTGTTTATAAAGCACATATTTGGCATTACTGCTGTTTTATTTAAGCTAAGTAAATAAAACATTTTATAAACATTAGGGTCATTCTGTCTGCTACCCTGTCAGTTTACGAAGGGGGCAGCACAAGACCTGTAGCATAAAAATTTATTAAAATACACTTCAGAAGCACACTTAAAGGCTGCAGAATATATTCTTGATTAAAGTTTATTTTCCTAACCTGTCTGCTACCATTGATTATTTTGGCTTTCTTTTTCCTTGATAGTGTAAATAACTTTTGCAAAATGAGATCTTCTTATGTTGCCCAGGCTGCCCTCAACTTGCTGTGCTGAAGGAATCCTCCTGCCCCAGCTTCCCTTCCACCCCCAATAGCTGAAATACATGCTCCTATGTGTGGGTTGATGTTAGGGAATAAGTCAGAACTGGAGCATGCTAGGCAAACATGCACTCACTGAGCTGAAGCTCCAGTCCCAGCGCTATCATTTTGAAGGGTCATGCACACACTGTTCTTTCTAGCATGAATGCACTGTCTACTGTGTGTTCCTAGGACTTTATTAGTTACAGCCCTACCATTTGGACAGTCAGTGAAGCTGATGAACAGCATGGCTAACTGCACTTCACTGGGAGAGGGGAGGAAATGCTTTTCCACAGCCTCATTTCATAGCCTGTACAAAGCAAAGGGGTGGCTGTATGAAAAATCCCCTTAAACTGAATATGCTACACTGGTGTGTTTAAGGCAGCAACACCAGTTACCAGAAACTAGAAACATGTGAGAGGCAAATTCATCGTTAGCATAGATCCTTCAGAGCGGCAGACTGGGTAAGCTTACTGATCATCTAAGGCCAAGGCTGGCTGCAGCAATCCTGTGATTAACATTTCCAAGCAGGTCATTAATCTCCAGGAAATGCTTAGCATGTTGATTACTGTTGGCTTAATTGATGCTGTGAATAATTTAGTAAAGAATGATTGCACAGATTTGGACAAAGGAAAGCCTTTTCTAATACTCAGGGGAGCGCCTCCCAGCCAGCACATTCCCAGCTGTAACGCTGAAATATTTCAGGTTTCAGAAACAGAAATCTCAGACTTGTGTAGATTTGCGGCTGGTTTTTATTAGTAAAAGGATATGTCTTCTTGCTAACGGGAGAAGTAAAAAATAATGTACTTTCACAAGGTGAGAAGCCCAGATAGTTAAAAATAGACACAACTTTCTTTAGATAAAAATTTTAAATTCTCTTAATGTTGTAAAATATAACATCGAAATCCTGAAATTTTTCATTTTAATAAACTTTTTGTTGTTGTTGTTTTTGCAGGTCAGAAAGGGTTCTTTGTTTGAAATAATTTCTTTTCCAGCAAAAACTGCTTTAACTAGCATAATATATGCTTCCTACGCAGCACTAATTTATTTGGTAAGTAACTGCTAGATTCTAACACAAATGTATTTCACACATTGTTAAAAGCAGCACTGTGCGTACCACAGCATCTAGTATTAGTTTGAATGGCCCCAGCCAAGGCACACCACTGGTTGTGCAAGATGAATCCATATTAGTTGTCTGATTCCTGCCAAAACAACCTCGGGACACAATTTACTTATATGATTTTACCTCTCTAAAGATAACTGCTACCTAAAGAAATTTAATCAAATTTAGTAAGTTAGATAAAATTTACTCAAAACAGATTACCTTTTGCTTTGAAATATCTTGCTGTCTAGCGATAGCCATTGTCTCATGATGGTTTTAGTTCAATATTCCATATTTACAGTCTATGACTTTGAAGAACACAGCTACTATAGTTTGATTATAAGTAGTGGGCATGACAAAAATATAAAAGATTGTATCAATTATATGAATTTTTACCCATTAAAAATATCCATTGACTTTATTAAAAACACAATTCAAGAAAGGTCTTATCGTGACGAATTATCACAAGATCTATTGGTCTATTTCGCCATGAGGTAAAACATTGCCAGCTACTACAACATCATTCTTGCTTTTCTTCCATATGTGTGACATTTCGACTTGTGGGTGATTCAGCTTTTTAGATTGAATGTAGATTGAATCATGGCACACATTTTCTTTCACATCTGCTGCTGCTCAGCATTCTCATTATGAAATTCATTACTGTATAGGGTTTTAGTGGTTGATATTCCTTTTTCTACTCAACTACCCATGGGCATTTTAGATCGCTCCTAGTTTGAACCTTTACATCTGCCATACATATCTTTGTACATGTCCTTTGTTGGAACTGCTAGGTTATGGTGCTAGAAAGATTGCTCAGAGGTTAACAGCACGGGCTGCTTTTCGAAAAGTCCTGAGTTCAATTCCCAGCAACCACATGGTGACTCACAACTATCTGTAATGAGATCTGGTGCCCTCTTCTGGTCTGAAGGCATACATGCAGATAGAACACTGTATATAAATAAATAAATTGCTAGGTTTTAGGATATGCAAGCACTTATCACTAAATACATGCTGTAAAAAAGCTTCTAAAATGCTTTTAGCAATTAAAACACATCCTAGAAGATCATAACAGTCCTATTTTGTCACCAGTGGTGCCTGATACTGTCAATATTTTCTATTTTAGTCATTTTTTAAAGTGGGTGTTATAATACTGCTTTTAGTTTACATGTTCTTGATTATTAATGAGATTGATTAGCATTGCATAAATTAATTGGATAGCTCATCTGTGAATTTCTGTTAAAATCTCCAATGGCAAAGCAATGGAGACAGCTAGCCTCAGGTGAGAACTCTGAGACCTTGAGCCAAACCAACCTTTCCTTCTTTAAAATGGGTTTTCAGTTACTTCTCTGAGCAATGAAAAGCCATTTAGCATAGTTCCTTCTGTTGATAGAGGCTGTTTTTTGTCCTTTTTGACCATTTTGGTTTGATGTATATTTTGTTTGATGTGAATATAGATTTTCCTGCATGGTTTCATATTTAATTTTTATAGAATCTAATTTTCTGGTCTTTCACTTTTAGTCTGCGTATGACTTTGTTAGTGATGTGAGTTTCTTGCAGGCAGAATTTCTTGGGTCTTGTTTGGAATGCAATTGGCCAGTTTGGAAAGTTCTGTGTATGTATATGTGTGTTATACATATGTGAGTTATGTGTATATGCACACATGCATATGTGCACAGAGGCAAGAGTATATTGGAGATCTTCCTTGATCATTGTTCACCTGGTCTTCTGAGACAGGCTCACTGAACCTAGACTGCATCAGTTCAGCTAGGCTGACTTGTATACACTGACTTGTATTCGTCTGACACCCCCACTCACCACCAACCAGCGCTCAGGTTCTACTGAACCTGAGCTGGCCTGCTCCTGTGTATATTTAACACATATACTCCTATTTACATAAGGTATCCAAACTTCTCATTGCTACTTGGTTCTACATGCTTCTTGGACTGGGAATATATTGGAAGTTGTCTGCTATTTCACTGAATAAGCTTCTCTATGTCTTTTATAACTTGGCTCCTTCATCAATACTGGTTATTCATAAATTTAGTCTTCTAATCGCTGCCCCAATCACCATTTACACTGGTCATCATCTACCTTTCCGCTGCCCCGAGTGCGCTGTTTGTTCACTCTGTCTTCACTCTCTGACACTATGCCTTCCAGTTGACTTGCTTTATTGTCGAGATGTAAGTGACTTTTCTATTTTCTAGTTCACGTTTCGCCTATACTGGTGGTTTGGCTATTTCATTCAGCTGTTCATTTGTATTCTATTCAAATTCAGTCATCATTTTGAAAAACAATCTCTGAATTCCTTGGGGTTCATATGCCTCAGTATCTTTGGATTCACATAGCACTTTTGGAGGAGTCATAGGCCTTGTTTTACTGGTAATTCTTGTATTTCTATATTGTAATTTGCACACAGATATCTATTCTAATGTTATGTGAGGGTCTTAGCAAAAAGCCTCTTCTTTCCTTTTTTTCCCTTTTGGTTTTTTGAGACAGGGTTTCTCTGTGTAGTCCTGGCTGTTTTGAAACTTGCTCTATAGACCAGGCTGACCTTGAACTCAAAGATATCCTCCTGCCTCTGCCTAAATGCTGGGATTAAAGTTTTGTGCCACCACCGCCCAGCTAGAAGCCTTTTCTTGAGAGCTCTATATGAAGTGTCACTTAAAGGGATGAAGATAATCATAGTAACAACTAGAAAACAAATCTTCTGGATACAGAAACACAGCAGACAAATAAGAAACATATCAGCAATGCCACCACCAATAACAACAGAAAAGAAAGAGGCAGAAACAATATAGAATAAACTAAAGAGCTAAAAGCAGTAAGAAATTTAAAAATCCAATCCCCAGCTGAGGCCCACGGACTGCAGTTTCTTTCTTGTCCTCTAACACTGCAGTCTGCCAAACACGACTGTGGGGAAGTGGGGTAGTCGACGAAGCTGAGGCCTGCATTTTCTATTTGGCTTGGCCAGTGATACGTGTGGCAGAGCAGTACTCAGTTCATAGGCTTCTTGTATGCATGCCAAGGATCCATGACAGCCCCAGCAGTGGTAACAGGGCTGAGTGGGCATGCCTCTCCTAAAGTTTGGCTCCACATGAACCCCAACAATCTCTGATACTCCAGATGCCCAGGCACACGTGGTGCACACTTTTAATCTCAGCATTTGGGAGGCAGAGGCAGTAGGATCTCTGTGAGTTCAAGGCCAGCCTGATCTACAGAGTGAGTACCAGGACAGGTTCCAAAGCTACACAGAGAAACCTTGTCTCAAAAAACTAAAATAATACATAATTAAATGAAAAATGGAAGACATTTTATGAAGCTCCTGTAAAGAGACCTATACACAAAGAAACTGGGGACAATAATGTTCTAAGGCAATACAAAAAGAATTTTCTGAGAAGTAGGGGAGATCAATTGAGTACCACTGGGTAAGCATTTTTCTTTTACCTCATGGCGATTCCACATAGATTATAAATCTGTAAGTGAAACACAGAATAAAGCAGCTTTAGAATATAGTAGATGAGAATGTTCTCATGACCTTGGGTATAATTGATGACTTCTTTGAACAGAAAAAAACCCCACACAATATAAAGAAAAGTATTAATAAGCTGAACTATATGAGAATTAAGAAACTGTGCTTTAAGAGTCTGCTATCAACATGAAAAGACAAGCCATAGAAGGAACCAATGAAAAGGCATATGAGGCAGAGACAGCACAACAGCAGAAGCAGGGGAGGAGGTGGGTACAGGGCAAGATATAGCCCCTAGAATATGCCTCACCCCTAGAAAATATGAAATATTTTCTGTAGGTAGTACCTATGAACTAAAATTACCAGAACATCCCAAAATAAGTCCATCACCTGGGGACCAACTCTATGGGAGAACATTTCACATTCAAATCTAAGAACAATCTATAGAGGAGACACAATGGTTATAAATATGTGTGCATTGAAAGTTGGATCCCTCCATCTTATTAAACAGATACTACACAGCATCCAAAGAGCGATGAGACCACAACACAATAGTGGGTGACTCCAGCAGACATTCTCTCAGCAACACGACAAAACACCAACAAAGAAACATTAGAGTTAGAACACGAAGGTCAGTGGATTGATATCTACACAATATTCCATGTAATAGTAGCAAAATATATGTGCTTTTAATCGACACATAAAACACTACTTTTCAAAACATATTCGAGCCATTAATACAAGCTTTACAAATATAAAAATGAGAAAGGAAGAAAAGGAAATGAAAGAAAGACTATAGGCCAAAATATAATCTTTGATAACCCTTTATTATCTTTGAAATTAATTAGAAGCAAAAATTCTTAATATGATACTTGCAAACTGAACTCAGAAATATATCTTAAAACATCATCCAACATGATTAAGTCAGTTTCACCTCAGGGATGTTAGGATGGTTCTGTATTTGTAAATCAATACATTTAATACAGTATATAAACAGAAGGAAGACAAAAATAGCATTATCATCCATATCAATGCAGAATAAACTCTTGAGATGAAATTATATCATTTGGAACAAGTTAAAGGAATGAACTTGAGGTCATTCTGTTAAGCAGAAAGACAAATTAATAAAAAAGACACAGAAAAGAAAGTATTGTATGTTTTGTCCCATTGTATAAGAACTATAATGATTCTTTTAAAAGACCTAAACTAGCAGGGAGGGTTACCAGAGAGGCAAGGCACTGGTCGGGGGTGAAGAGAGGGTGGATGAGATTAAGATGCAACATACACATGTATGAAAATATAGCAACGAAGTAATGTGTTACTGCAATAAAGGTTCTATTAGAAAATTAAAGTGCTTTGAGATCTAAAGGAGAGGAAGGAAACGTCGCCGTATTTCCATCTCCAGGCAGGTCTTCTGTAAGATAAACCAGTTCCTTTAGCTTTGTGGACAATGCTGCCCCCCACCTTGGCTCACTGCCATCATTAGTAATGCAGAATAAGCTGAATGAATAAATTTGCTGCATTTCTCACTTCTGAGATTAGTTTTATGCATATTTTATTTAAACACTTTTCCATACTTAGGATGAGGAATCAGTCTACTGCTTGCCATGTGTCAGGGTTTCCTCAAAGGATATTTTATATTAAAACATGTAGATTATTGACTATATTCAACATGTTACTGACTTTTTGTGTATAGTTGCTAGTATCTTAAAAAGAAACATTACTTTCAACATTCTTTTATTGATACAGGCAGTCTGTGTTAATGCCGTGCTGGCAAAGATAAAGAACATTTTCCAAGAAGAAGAATCCCTAAGGCAAAACAGAGAGAGTGAGAACTTCAGAAAAGCCTTTTCTGAGCCTGCGTTTCCACAGTCCATGTTCTCTGAAGGTGAAATCACAGCGAAACCCTACAGATCACTGCCAGAGAAGCCAGACCACCTCGCAGCTCTCTCCAAGCCTCCTGCCAACAAGCAGAATAACAAGATCCAGGTTTTACATTCTGTGTTTGACCAATCAGCGGAACTGAATGAATGAGAAATCCAGAGACAGATACCAGGCTGGAGAGCTTAGCAGTCATCTATCCATGGGAACATCTCATCAGAAAAAACCAGAAGACTAGTTTTCATATGCTGAATGCTCTTTTTAAAGGGGCAGAGCAGGGAAAATGATGACATCATTCTCTTGTATTTATATGGCATAGAGAATAAAAGGAAACGATGTAAATATGTCTGACTACCCAGTATTTTTAATTTTTTACATATTTTACATATGTATACGTGCAGATACCTACACAGGCCAGAAGGGAGTGTCAAATCTCCAGAAGCCACCTGAGGAGGATGCTGGGAACCAAACACAGGTCCTCTAGAAGAACAGAACATGCCCGTAACCACTGAGCCATCTTCCCTGCCCTGACTATACAATATTTTTTAATGAGTAAGAATTCATATTTTGTTGTGCTAGAGTTTACACTGTTTATAATATTGATGTGTTCATAATTCGTTTATATTTCTAATTAAGAATTGTTCTAAATGCTTATTTGGAAAGGAAAATGTCATAACTAAAAGTTATACATCTTGAAGCTGAAGAGATGGCTCTGTCAGAGCGCTTGCTGCTGAGCAGCCAGATTCGGCTCTTAGCACCCACAGCTGTCTGTAACTGCAGCCCCTGGGGATCCAACGCCCTCTGCTGGCTGCTGCATGCCGATGAAGTGTGGTGTGCATACATACAGGCAGACAAAAACTTTATTTAAAAAATGCTACACTTTCAGAGATAGTAAAAACTGTACTTCTTTATATTTGTAGGCAGATATTTGTAGCCAAGTCTCCCTACTGATTTTATAAGTCACTTGTAAAGTTATGAAGGACTTGAAATTCAGATGCCATAAATTTATGAAAAATTTGCAAATCTGATGAGACAGGATGATAAGGTGAGGTTATCTACTAATGGAGTTTGGTCAAATCCCCATTCTGGCTCTGAATTCCTGGGTCAAATGACTGTCCTGCCTCAACCTCCTGAGATGCCAGGACTACAGGGTCACAGCACTGAACTGTGCAAAGTCATGACTTTTATTTCCAAATTTAAAGATAGAAATTTAGAACAAGAATCCATATTGCTCGTCACTGCCATTGGCTCCTGACAGAAATGCCGCTATCCTTGGTCCTCTAAACCAGGTCTTAGATTTGCTGAATGGAAAGCAACTTCAGTGGCTTTCAAGCACTTTATATTCTAAGATATAATAAGATTTGTGGCTATTCAAGAAATAACAGGCTGGTATGAACTCTGCTGAGAGATAGCGCATTTTCTGAACCCAGGGAGTAACTGTTGATGGAAACATTGTTGAAAAGTCCAAGTCTGGCTTGTTAGTGTTCTCTGAAATGAGTAACAAATCTCTTTTGTCATGTGACCCATATCCCAAAAGAAAAGGAAATGTACACAGCAGAAGGTCCAAGCACCCGTGAGTCACTAAGGTGGATGCTGCGGCCACACTGCAGAGCCCTGTGGGAGAGCAGCCAGTGCTGCTAACCAGTCCCTCCGGGGCTCCTGGCTCATTTTCACAACAACCCAGTCAGAGTCCAGGTAAAGAAGACCCTTAAGCACTAGGTTTAGACAATTCATCCTCCATCATGAAAATTACTATGTTTAAGACTTAGTTTTATTTTTAACAGTCTCACCGTGAATTCATATCCCACACTTTCTGTCCCATTTACACCGACATTTTGCTGAGTGAGTGCTGAGTTCTGCATGACAGACACCAGGGTGTTGCTCTAAATGCTGAATAACAAGCACGATATGGGTCCTCGGCGGCCAGAGCAGCAGTGGCCACAGGTTACTGGTGTAGTAAAGTCAGGGTAAACCAGGAGAACACCAGTCTGCTTGTAAACCCTGAGTAAACACATTTATGGGAAACTGTATACACACACACACACACACACACACACTGTTCTCTAAAATTCTTTTAAACTTCTATTTGAAAGTTTCATGTAAACAAAGCACTTTGGTTCCTAAGAGACTTTGCTAGCGTGAGTGGTGTTTTTTTTTTTTTTTTTTTAAATTCAGAAATTAGCCCTGATAAGAGACAAGTCAAACCAGGTTTTATTTGGTTTTGACATCTAGCACCCTCCTTCTCCCTTTCCTGATAGGGTCTCACTAAAGAGTTCTGGCTGCCTGGAGCTCACTGTGTAGACCAGACTAGCCTCGAAATCACAAAGATCCAACCTGCCTCTGCCTCAGAAAGCTGGAATTAGAGGTGTGTACCAGTATGCCTAGTTTTAAGTTTCTCATTTTTAAGTTCAACACATACGTTGGCCTCATTAGAGGCAATTTTGACATATAAATGTCTGCTAAACATTTGTAAGCAAAAGTATACAATTAAAATTTGAGTGTACTTAATTTTACTTTTAAAACTATAAAAACCATAATTTAAAACAGGAGGCAGATAATTTGTGGACAAAGCAATATAAGAACAGAGGAATGCTGGGAACTGTAGGAGAGAGGGATAGAGGTCATTCTGTGACTGTTAACTTTACACATATGAAACGTTCCCAAATAAACCTGTTGGATTTAAAAGAAATCTTTTCCTACTTTAACTTTTCCTGTTACACTTTTTGTTTTATCTGTTACTGACCGTGTAGGTCCTTCCTAAGCTGATGGTCTTGAGCCTCTAATGGACAGACTCCAATCAGTCCAGAGAGGGATGAAATATATTCTGTCGGCCTTGAGTGGCCTGGAAGTCATACTAAAGTAAACATGCTTTTAAAACCTACAAATCCAGGACTTTAAAAAATACTTGCTTTTATTTTTATTTATGTGTATGATATGTGTGTTGGTGCCCACACAGGCCAGAAGAGGGCATCAGATTCTCTGGAGCTGGAATCAGAGGCAACTGTGAGGTGTGAGGGTGAGGAAGCAGCCTCAGGTCCTCTGGAAGAGGAGCAAGAGCTCTTAGCCACTGGCCCATCTGTAGGCCCTGGCACAACTGGTGGTTTTTAAAGTTACATGCACCTATGTTGGAAAAAAAATTATCTTTGGTACTGGAACAAAATTACTGTAAAACATTTCCAAACATACACGTAAGTTTGCTGCCATATGTATTTTTTAATCAGGAAGAACTCCGAATTACTTTGAATTCTCCAGTGGCATAGAAATCAGAGTCACATTTAAAAGGTTCCTTGGAAAGTGTCACATAAATATTGCCATTCTCCACCGTCACGGTGTGTATCCTTTGCTTTACTCCCTTGGAGCACCACTCAGGTCTTGCTGATGGGTCTTTAGGGTTTATAGACTGGTATAATCCTTCTCCTGTTGCCAAAGTGATTTTGTATTTATGCCAGGGGCAAACTATACATGACTGTCCATTGAAATCCTAGAGGGGAAAAACAAAAGATTTAATAGGCTGACATTTCAAGTGTTTAAGATAGGTTTCAGATTTAGTTAAGAATCTAATGCAGGAGAAGTGGGTTGAAGAACCACACCAGGTGGAGTTGCATGCACTCAGGACCTGTGGCAAGAGGATCTTGATGCCAGCCTGGACTACACCATGAGCCTCTGTCTCACAAACAGTGAGGAGCTTGCCGGTGAGATGGTTCAGCAGGTGAAGGTACTTGCCGCTAAGCCTAGTGGGGCCCTAGGAACTCACGTGACAGAAGAGGAGACCCACCTCTACACAGTTACTTTCTTTGTCTACACACAAATAAGCAAATAAACACTACAAATGTTTATTTCAATATGTATTTAAATAAATAAGAAAAAATGTTTATTACAAAAGCAGTGCTTCCCTCTCCTACTTAGAATTTCCAAGTTATCCAGCCCTAAGCCAAATGAGGACAATGGAGTTTCTGCGGGCTAGAACTCAGCGGGAGCATCAGCATTACAAGGGCTGGCTGGCAGAAGACCACACTGCCTCTGAGCCACAGGTTACCTACATTAATGTCACTTCTTGACAAAAAAAAGGGGTGGGGCTTCCAGAGCTGCCAGAGGAATTTTCACTAGCTTCTAGAAGAATTGTAAGGCCTGGGAGTTACTGAAGGTCTGAGTGCAAATGGACAAGAAATCTGTGATCCCAACTTTTAAACTGTCCTAAGGAAGTGTTGCCAAGCCTTAAGGAGCATGGGCACCACCTGGATCTGCTTTAAACACAGCTGTTTGCTTAAGTTCACTAAGCATCTGTGGGAGTGGGCTTCTGCATGTCTAATAGGTACCACTGTGTCAAGGGTGCTGGGCTGTGGCTGACACAAACCCTCGACAGTTCTATAGTGCTCTCGTCAGCATGTGCTCTCAGGCCTGCACACCAGAAACAGACATGCTAATGTGGTTCCCACAGAGGTGTCAGCAAGCAGGCACACTTTTCGTAACTTAAACACATGCCCTTCAGTATAAGGCACAGGAACAGATTGTCAGCAGGCAAATAACAAGTGTACAAAGGTGAAGCTCAGGCTTGTATTTGCAACAGTTAGACAAAACACAACCCCCCAAACAAGCAGGAGACAGACATTAGATAACTAGTTTTGGAGTACAAGAAAGCAAAGGCGATTCCCCCAAATTCTTCAGGTACGATTTTAAATGTGTTTTCTTTCAAACATTTAGAAACAATTTTATTATATTAAAAATAAATACTCATAAAATTCAAAGTAAACAATATAGCAATAAAAAGTGAATCTATTAGAAATTTGATCTCATTGGAACTACTCTATTTGAGTACTCAAAATAACATTGTTAAAACCCCTCCATGCCAGCACAGATAGACCTGTGTCAGTAATCTAATGGGTGCATAATGTTCCACAGCATGGCTATTTAATGAAGTGGTCTTAAATTGACCACATATAACAAAACATTTGTACAAGTATATTCACAGTAGACATCACAGTATATTTGTTAAGCCAAAAGACATTCATACTTGTAATTATTTATCTGGAAATGGTTTTCTTTATGTTATAGGGTATAAATAGGTAAGGATAGTGGCAATAATCTTCAAAGCACTAAAGTAGAATTAAATATAAATTATTAATCTTTGAATAAGTAACAAAATAATAAAAATATTGGAAACATCTCAATTTGCTTAGAGTAAATTTAATTTTACATACCTCAATTTCTCCCAAGTGTAAGGGTCCTCCAGAATCTGAAAAGGAATTGATATTATATCTAATCATTAAACTGAATTTTGATAGTTTTGTGGTAAACAAGTACAAATTCTAAAAACGAAACCTTACGGTAGCAGCGAATGTCCATAGCATGATATTCCCCTTTGTGGTAGAAAATGACCACTTCTCTGTCATGGACAACAGCTGTCATTCTTTCCGACTTTCTAATGTCATCCTCTCGGCCAACACAGACAGAAGTGTTCTTGTCGTCGCCACCTTGTTCAGAGGCTTCGGGGTCCATGCTAATTAGTAAGGGGAGAAGGAAGAAAAGAGAGGAAGGGATGTGAGAAAAGGAGAGGAGAGGGAGGAGGAAGGAAGGAGGAAAACACTAGAAGTGGTCCTTTCTAGTATGGGCACAACCTAGAGGTAAATATTGAGTTGTCTGAATTTTTTGAAACTAATGAATGCATTTTTCTATAGCTGTATAGAATGCTGTTGGGCTTTAAAAAAAAATTCTTTGCTTTTTGATCTCTTTTGTCTTTGGGGGGCCACCACCCAGCTCCCAAACAATCACATGGAGTCTTATTATTACTTATAAATGCCTGACCTCAGTCTGACTAATTTCTAGCCAGCTTTTCTTAAGTTGTCACATTTACTTTCTGCCTATGGGCTTTTGTCTTTCTCTACTCTACACACCTTTCTTCACTTCTCACTCCATGGCTTGCTGTGTAGCTGGGACTGGCCTCTGAAGTCCTCCCCCCATCTCCTGTTCGCTCCTAGATCTCCTCTTCCTGGCTTTCTCCTCCTATTTAGTCTCTCTGCCTGCCTGTCCCACCTATCCTTTCTCCTGCCTAGCTATTGGCTGTTCAGCTCTTTATTAAACCAACTACGTGTTTTAGACAGGCAAAGTAACACAGCTTTACAGTATTAAACAAATTCAATATAAAAGAATGCAATACATCTTTGTATCATTAAACAAATGTTCCACATCAGAAACAACTGTAACATATCTCCAACTAACATTCCACAACAATAGAACACTTGTAAATACTAGATTATAGCTAGTCTTTACTTTGATTTATGGACACAACACCGCCAAACCAAGGAAAATTCCCCACTGTCAGGAAGGACAGGCTCCTTTCAATACTTAGGATGGAAATTTCAGAGCCGCGGTATAGAGCCTAAGGCTTCATGCCGTTTCATTCCATATCAAATTCAATACTAAAGAACACCCAGCTGCTCTCCGTTCTGTCTCTGTCTGTTGAAGGAGTCCGTGCATTCTCGGGGACCCTGGTGGGTGGCTCACTTGAACAGTCTTTTGTTTACCCCAACCCTCTGTTGCCTATATTTCAAAGTGCTGTCTTGTATTTCACTCTTTGGTCAAATGTGGAAATTACAAGGTGAAGAAAGAAATCAGGATTAAAAAGTTAGTCGGTATTATTCCTAGAGAAAGTCTCGGCAACATGTCTGCTCAGCCCTCAAGACTACCTACTCTGTAACACTGTTCAGCACTGTGTAAATATAACCAACAGAGGGTAAACAAAAGAGAGGGATGTGAATAGGTTTTCACACCATTTTCACACATAGACACGAAGATGATTTTCCCCTTTGATTAACTTATACAAGAGGATTGTAGAGCAGATTTCAGTCTTTTTATCGTAAAGTGACTCAGTGGATTGTGTATGTTAAGACTAGAGTCACATTCCAATGATTTCACTGGGAAGAACCATCATGACACCACAGTTGGGGTGACTTCACAGAGCAATCTCTTCCTAATAGAAGATGTCAGTGTATGGGCTCCTGTGGTACCTGAACTGTTTATTGGAGCAGAGTTACTTCAATTCCTTTATTGTGTGACAAAATTAAAGTCTTGTGACAGATGACAAAGGTTAAAGTGTCCCGGTCACATGTAACCACAACTGTTTACAATACCGACAGGGAAGCTTCTTCTTTTTCTTCTTTTTTGTTTGTTTTTTTTGTTTTTCGAGACAGGGTTTCTCTGTAACTTTGGAGCCTGTCCACAGAGAAGCTTCTTAAAAAACAACTTTGCTAGTCATCTTTAAAAGCCACCAGAATTACAAATGATGTTATCTTCAGATTCTTCTTCCGAGTTTTCTCCTTATTAGAGATAATCATTTTATGAATGCTTTCTGATCAATGACTATGTGACTGGCACTTCAGGAGTTGGGACATGCAAGCTTTCTGCCCTCTCAAGGATTGTGTTCTACATGGCAAGATTGATATCAAACAAATATATAAGTAAGAATGACACACGATGAAATGTAACATGAGGGGCAGGCTTGTTGGGGTATCTGTTCCCGCCCGGTACCCTATGGCCGGCAAGTCCCAAAGAAAATCACACACAGGGCTCCATAAAGTTATAAACTGATTGGCCCATTAGGTCAGGCTACTTATTAGCTCTTATAACTTATGTTACCCCATTATCCTTATCTATGTTAGCCACATGGCTCAGTACCTTTTCCAGCGGGGCAGCTTACATCTTTCCTCTCCGGTGGTCTGGGCAGAACTGGCAGCTTCCTGCTTTCCTGAATACTCCCAGTCTCTTTGCTCCACCTCTACTTCCTGTCTGGCTTTCCCGCCTATACTGCCTGTCTGGCCAATCAGCGTTTTATTAAAATATGATTGACAGAATACAGACAATTCTCCCACACTAATGAAATTATACTGGGTGATGTGAGAGAACGGGACAGGGTGAGGAAATCTTGCAAAGAACAGACTGTAGAGTAAGAAAATCAAACTACCCCCCCCATAAAATGAGTCAGATATGTGAAGCACTGATGGAGAGAATCCCATAGGAAAGAAAAGGCTTAGCTGATTTGAGGAACAATAACAAACAAACCTGGACAATACTTCACAAGACTGGCTAGCACTGGTCAGAGGTAAAGGACACCACTGGGGGACAGAGGGAGGGTAGCCGGTCTAGGGGCACTGGGAGTTTTACATGTGTCCCTTTAAAACCAGTGCTCCAGGCTCTCTGGAAAATGAATGGTAACAGAACAGGTATGAGAACACAGAGAGCAGGAAGCTGCCACAGCCAAGCAGCCAGAGTGTTCTGAGGTGAGGGAGAAAAGGAAGGGCCCATCTTGAAAGCTTGTCGTGTTCAGAGACAAGTGGAAGACATGGAGAGAGGCAACACGAGCACAGCACCCAGTGACTGTTAATCAAACGAAATTAATTACTCTACTATCATCTGCCTTAAACTGCAAGTAGGTAATAATCAGAAAAATAAAGGCAGTCAATGAGGTAAAATCACTAACTGATACATGAACAAAACTGGTGCTTCCCAGGAACCATTCTGTTGTAAAACTGTTTAGGAAAAAGCCCAGAGTATTCTACTCCCTTTGTGTAAACTGATTTATTTTTGACACTTCAACTCTCCTAAAAAGCAAATACTGGATGTGGTTATTAACTAAGTAAAAGCTTATATCCATAATACATAATCATTACAACCCTCTGTTGCCTATATTTCAAAGTGCTGTCTTGTATTTCACTCTTTGGGTCAAATGTGGAAATTACAAGGTGAAGAAAGAAATCAGGACTAAAAAAATCAGTCGGTATTATTCCTAGAGACAGTCTCGGCAACATGTCTGCTCAGCCCTCAAGACTACCTACTCTGTAACACTGTTCAGCAAGTCACACAGCTGGATGTTTACAAGGCATGCTTGTTTTTGAGACAGGACTTGAGTCTCAGCTGGCCTTGCACTCTGATCTTCCTGCCTCCCTCTCGCTAGTGCTCACATCACAGGCATGAGCGACCACACCAGGTCTATGCAGGGCTCTGTGTGTGCACTACAAGCACTCTACCAACTGAGCTGCACCTCCAGCAGCAAATGCTGCGCGTGTGCGTGTCAGACATAACCCTCCAAATCAAAATGGAATCCTTCTAAAGGTTTGTAGCAATCCTAGGTCTTACATAATATCCTCTCTCTCTCTCTCTCTCTCTCTCTCTCTCTCTCTCTCTCTCTCTTGTTCCCATTTTTAAAGAGTTATTTTATGTAAATGGGTATTTTGCGTGCGTGTGTGTCTGTGTACTACATGCTCATGCTTGGCTGGTGTCAGAGGAGGCCAGAAGACAGCATCAGATCCCCCTGGAAACCAGAGTTACAGAGGATTGTATGCCAACTTATAGGTGCTAAAATTCAAACCTGGGTCCTCTAAAAGAGTAGCCAGTGCTCTTAAACCTCTAAGCCATTGCTTTAGCACCTCTGAATTCCATCTAAACAATTTTATAATTGTATGAAATTGTTATCAGAGTGTGAGATTTACAACTCTTCCTTATGCAAGATAAAGAATTTTATATGAACGAGGAAATGAAGTGAATAAAAATGATGTCTGCTATCAGTAGAGACTCAGCTGCTGTTAACCACACTAAGTGGACTGGGAAATACTCTTCGTATTAAACTGTATGCAGTTGTCTACAATTGAAAATACTATGAATCACATCAGCTTCAAAGACCCCAGTTGTCGGACGATGAGCCTCAGTCTACCTCTAAACCACACTGACACTGCCATATTCACAAGGAGCTAACATCCTGACCAAACAGGAAGCTACCATATTGAACCACTTCAGTCTGAGGTTAACATTTTACATATATGTACCCACTCATCCAATTTGTTTAAAGGAGAACTTGGACCTAGATTAAATGACTCCAACCCATAAACTTTACAAAGTTAAGAGGAAAAAACTATGACTCATTTTAAAAGCAAGTTTATAAAAACAGAAAACTTAGGAATAAACTCTCCACTGAGTTTATTAGAAGTGAGCTTTGGAAAAGGAATTTATCAGCCACTCTAACAAAGCAAGTGCTACACCAGGCAGAAGGTAGGACAAATGTTAGTATCACAAGTCCAGCACTAAGACAGGCAGAAGGGAGGACATGTGAAAACATCAGAGGCCTGGGCTCTACAACCTCCATGCATGGAGGGGGAAGTCAGTGTGTGCACTGGTAGGGAGAAGCCAGAGATTTCACTCAGTGTATAAACTTCATGTAGATTAAGTTTAGGAAACTACTCTGGAGTCTGTAGTCAACTCCTGCTCTGAGTAACCTAGCTGGGCTGGGATGCAGATCAGCAACCAAGCATGTGCTTGACAGCCCATGCCATGAGTTCTAGCCCTAAGTGGGGGAGGGGTTGGGTTTAACCTGACATTTAACTGTTATTTGAAAAAACTAAGATATATGCTGTTTTTAAAATTATCCTACAATAGAATAGCAAAAATAAGTTTAACAAGAAGAGCAAGGGGGAACTGGAGAGACGGCTCAGAGGTTAAGGACGCTGACTGTTCTTCCAGAGGTCCTGAGTTCAATTCCCAGCAACCACATGGTGGCTCACAACCATCTACAATGAGATCTGGTGCCCCCTTCTGACCTGCAGACATATATGGAGGCAGCACACTGTATTATATACATAATAAATAAAATATTAAAAAAAAAAAGAAGAGCAAGGGGCCAGCTGTGGCACACACATCTTTAATCCCATGACTCACAAGGCACAGACAGGTGATTGTCTGTGAGTTCAAGGCTAGCCTGGTCTACATAGTGAATTGCAGACCAACTAGGGCTATATAGTGAGACTCTGTGGGTCCAGAGGTAATAAAAAGGTAAAGGAAATCACCACCACAATTTTTTCTGGGTTGTCTGTGACTGACAAGAAGCTGGAATAATAGGTCTCTCTGCTCATTGGATTTTGCTTGATTTGGTCAAATACACGAATTGCTAGTGGGAGCATTTACCTTCAGAGCTGGACTGCAGTCTTATCAGATTTCATGGGAAGAACACAAAGGAAGCAAATCATAAGAAAACAGGAAACAAAGAAGTAAAGGAAAAGTAAATAGGCTGAAGTAAAAGGAAAAAATATATTAAATTTGCAACACATATAGACCTCAAAATAAGATGCAGAAAACAGGAAGACTCCCTATACACAGTAAGTAAATGTCAAATAAAGAAAGAAAATGGACAGAAGACATGTGCAAACAGTTCACAGATGAGAATTTCAAGTGGCCAACAGTTATATGGTAGAAGCTTAACCTCATCAGAAAAATAAAATGAAATGCAAAGCCCAAGCTGGAATATTTACATCTAGCAGACTAGCAAAAAGTTATAGGAGGTTGGCAAGAATATGATATAACCACTAGTGATGGCATCACCAAAGCTGAGCAGTCATGGCCCACTTGAAGCATGTTAAAAGAATGACCACACCAGCCAAAGATAAGAAATAACATAGCCCATTAGTAGCAGGATGAATAATTTGTATACTCATTCAACGGAATGCTGTATTGCAGTAGAAACTAACTCCTTTTTAAAATGTGGAAAGTAAGCTTTCATTTCTTTTATTCATGTGCAAAAATCACAAAAAACCAAATACCATGTTATTCATGAACACAAGCTTTGTAAATATTTTCAATATTATTTTATTTTATATGCCTTGGTATTTTGCCTGCATGTATGTCTGCACACTGTGTACATGTCAGGTGCCCTAGAAGGCTGGAAAATGGCATAGGATTCCCCTAGAACTGGAGTCCAGACAGTCTGAAGTCACCATGGAGCTGCTGGAAATCAAGTCCAGGTCCTCTGAACGAGCAGTATTCTTAACTGCTGAGCCATCTCTCCAGTCCCCATGAATGCATGTTTATAAACTTACAGAGAAAAGCAAGAAGATAATAAAGGTATTCTTTAAAGTCTCAAAAATGTTGCTAGTTCTTATATTTATAGTCATTCTTTCTAGTATTTAAGATGAATCCTACTTTGTCTTTGTTGAAAGCTCATGAAAAACAAGGTTTTGAATCCTTAGAGCATCTTCCCACGCAGAGATAAGAATGAACTATTTGAGAATATCTTAGGTCAAAACTTAACAATAGATA